AAGATAATTAAAAATATATATTAGTTATAGAATGTGAAAATAGAAGCGAAAGTAATCATATGTAAAAATAAATAATTACGGAAATTTCCATTTTTAGTAATAATATTTAAATAAATTAGATAAATTAGATATGTAATACATTTGCATAAAGTCCAATGTTTAGTGCTATCTAATTAAAATGCAGCTAATTACATTATCATCGATATATTAATATATTACGTACTCGTGTTTGATGATACCTAGAATTGACATTATTTCTATAAAAATGCATCGTTTGTGAAGAAAATACATGCATTTTATTGTTGAATAATGTTTTAAATTATTCAAAATAAAAAGTTAATTAATTACATATTATTAATAACGTTCAAAATATACGTACTCAAAGAAAATGCTAAATACATGCACTGTCTTCGCGTGCAAACACAAAGAAATTGCTTGTGTAAAAAGAAAATAATCTGATATTTCAGAGTCAATGCGGTAATCTCTGATTCGAAGAAGTTAGTTCCCCTACCAAAGCGGCCGGATATATCATATAAGTTCGTAACAATTGACCCTGACGAACAGTATGAGATAATCTCTCAACGCGCGACACTCGTTCCCAGTGTATTTTAACTCGTAAACGCAGCGCTGGTGTTACAATATCAACCTTTCGACAAGTTGGTTAAAAGCTGCCGGCATTTAATACTTTCTAGTTATCATTTATATTAATATCTTGCATGCATAAATTTGTGACAAAAAAGTATGTACATTCCAACAAAGTTCGAGCAATAAATTGTATTTTTGTATAAAAAAAAAAGTACTAGTGTGATTCTCAAATAGTAAGGGCCGGTGGTAAGAAAGTCTGGTGGTAATTATTATTTTATTTTTATGCAAAAATTATTTTATTTTATAGTATAAAAAATTATATGAATATACGAAGTTATATAATAGAGTTATATAATACTAGAATAGATACTAGAATATGTATTATTGGTACTGAGCGAAGAAAGAACACATATACAGTCAAATAGCTATGTGTCTCTTTCAATTCGCACTGCACATGCGTGATAGACGTTTTGTTTCGCACAAAGCATCTGATATACGTACATGCGAATAGAAAGAGACACATATACCGGCATTCTTATATTATTAAGATCGTTTTAAGTACAATCGTAAGATGTCATAAACCTATCAGAAAGCCATATTAGTATCTTAGGACATTACTTAACATGGTCTTAAAATAAGAACCGACTATATATACCGACTATAGAGCTAAATTAGTATCTTAAAATATTTTAATTAAGATGATCTACTAAAATAAGAACCGACTACGAATATCGACAATACCCGAGATGTGCCTGAGAGTATCCCCTTTCCCTTGCCTCCACCTCTTCTTCCTCCTCCTTTTCCTCCTCCTCCCCCCCTCTCTCAAAATATTAAAAAAAAAAATAAAAATCTATTATGCACGTCAAAAGCATTTTACGCGCAATAATACATATAAACAATATGATTTTTTTTTCCTCAAAAAATTCAAGATAACAAATGGGGATTTAAGTAAATTTATGATAAAGTCTTCATAGTCGGTTCTTATATTTAAGACCGTCTAAAGTATAGTCTTAAAATGTCATAAATCAATCACACGTTCGTACTAACATCTTAAAATATAACTTAGAACAGTTTTGAAAAATCAACTATACTGACCGACTACATCGAATATTAACCTATATCTTTTTTCTTTTTAGATTTTCAAATTTAATTTTTTGCATTTAGTTACTACACATATTACATATCTGTATTAATAGTATATAATATTACTTATCTTTACCTATCTTTATCTATTTATGTATTACCTATCTTTCTTTCTCTCTTTGCGGCTTTCAACCAGATAATAAATACCTCAAATAGATTATCAGATTACAATAAATCAGTGCAAGAAAATTTACATGCAATTTTCGACTGATTTTTAGTTCAATTTCCGCCTCTTATCTCATCAACGTACGCATAATTTAAATGCCCATTTATACGATGATTTATTATACAGATAACAATAAATAACTTGTTATCAGTTTGCTAAAATCTTGTAAACACATAATGTTAAAGTCTATTTCATAGAATCATTTTAGGCCACGAGTCATAGTTGTAAAACTAAAGTCTTCTTTCTCAATAATATCAAATATCTTTTTTATAAAATATCTTTTTTATAAAAAATCTTTTTTATAAAATCAAAATTGTATTTTTCAACATTTTTCAAAACTCGACTTTTCTTCATTTTAGTCATTGCATATTTTTGTCTAAAAGCTTCGTTCTGTTCTACTAAACTTTGCTTTTTTTTGTTTAACAAAAAAAATGCAATATATTTAATAATTTTAAATAAATCTTTTTTAGAAATATACTGTAGTTCAAAAGAAAATAATTCCTTACAAGACAAACTAAAAATGTTATTATTATATAATATATAATATGCAATTATGTCGTTATAAGAAAATTCGTAATAAAATTATATTCTTCTCGAACATATTGCACAAAAGCCTTTATTAAAGTGAATAAATTGTTATTATAACGCTAAAAAAAGAATGTATAAAACAAAATCTATAATTCAGAAGAAAGCCAAATAACCTATGAATGATTTTTCTTATATTATGTTACATAAAATAAAATTAATTATATTTTGTGATATTCATGCTGCCTGACACAATAATTTCTATCAAGATTAATTTTAATCCTGGTTCAATTAACTCTTCGTCTTTTCCTAGTACCAAAAATTAAAAAAAGATGAAAAGTAAGTTGAACCAAGATTAAAGGTAATCTACATTAAAAACAGACACTAAGCCGTACATTGATATTGATTCTTACTTTTTCTCAAAATCAAAGAGGGAGCATTTCTTACCTAAAAGAGTAGACTATAAGAGTAAGTAGAATAATCGAGGCTACATTAAAAACAAAACACCGTGAGAAACGCGTAAACGTGTTCACGCAAGAGCGACTGCCGCTCAGTCTGCTGTAACATCTCGTTGCGAACACATCTACGATAGAAGTTACGCTACAATTTTAAAAAATCATACACTTAAGTAAATATTTTTATTTTTAAAACTTTTGTTTTACAATTGTATAATATATGATTATCTGATATATTTGATTTCTATTTAGTTAGTAAATGTAGTTCTTACTTAATAAAGTCCAACAAATTTTTTTTGTTTATGTGTCTTTGTTATCGTACATTGTTGATATTTTTTAAAAATAAACGGATGGGGATAGTAGACTAACCAGAGCATGGAACTGTATGATTCATTTAGTGACGACTCTTATAGTACTTTCTCAAAATTTTATTCCTTTAAAGAGATTTATCTCAGTAATAAATGTTATATGTTTAGTTCTCTCCAATCTCGAAAACTAGGTTCATTCGACGTGTTTGTGCACGAAATGAACAAATTTTGCAAAAAGAAGCATTGTTCTGCAAAGCAAATGTTTGCGTTTGAAATATATTTTTATAAAAGTTTTATTAATATGTAACCAATGATGTAGCTTAAAATACATTAATCTTAGTCAAATTACTCCAGTCCCGAGGCTAGTTGAATCAGATGGAATACATTAGGAAAATGCATTTTTTTCATATTATAAATTTCCCCTTATTATTAAAATAATATTAGGTAGTCAAATGTATGTAGTAACTGATGTAGAATTCATTTTTCCGATAAGTCTCTTAATTTCGTCTATAAAAATTCGAAAATGAGTCTACTACTCCCTATTTGAGTAAAGTTTATCGTAAAATTAAACTGTTATAAAAATTTGTTCAACTAGACTGAAGCAATATAAATGCATTTTAAAATAATTGATCTTTATCTTAAGTCATTTAAAAACTAAAACGCTTTAAAGATATTATAAATTTAAAATTTATGTAATAAAGTAGCATAAAATATAGAAATTTGAATTTCTTAAAAGGTTTGACGGCATTAAAGACTAATATAAATTCATATTTTACGTATAAAACGTAGAAAAAAAATAAGAAGTATTACTTTGCTGCTGTTCGATTTGATCCATACTAATTTTTTATGAAGCTTTCTTTACATAAATCGTAAACATAGTACGCAAAATGACGTATTATCGCATATAAGATACACGCAGATACAAATTAACCGCACGCAATTGAACTGTGACAGCGTTGACATGTTAATTTAAGTTAGTTTAGAGAAACTTACTGTGTATCTGATATTTTCCGTATTATGGAAATTTATTTTAAAAAATTCTCTGCTGATAAATGAGCGAATACAAAATTCATTTTCGCTACTGTTTGCTGTTCTATCATTGGTCAATTCAATTACTGCAGCGTAGAAAATAACGTATATGTTGCTATTTGCAAAACATAGATCTTCATTTTGCGTCTATGAATTATTTCGCAAATTATGTAAAGACAATTTTAATTTTTACGGAATTTATTCACGATTTATTCTCATATAGCAGTTTTTCATTTAAAAAAAAAAGAATCTAGAACATATTTGTTATAACAGATTTTAATTATTTTATTTTTCATTTTTTTCTGGGTTGTTCTAAATCCAGGCAGTTGGTTTATTTTACTTGAAAAAGACGATATTTCTAACATTAATAAAATGTTGCAATGATGTAATGTTAATATTGCATACAATTTTATTATATTCGTAGTACTCATAAATACTTATTATAACCCAAACCCACAAGAATTTATTATTAAATACCTCGCATCTTCAAGTCATTCACTATTCAATCAATAAATTCTATTATTAGATATATATAGAGCAGACTTTCAAAATGCATTTTGTCCAAAATTTGTAATTTTCAGAAAATGAGAAAGAAAAAAATTACGCACAAGAAAAACTACGCACTTCACAGAAAATAATATGTCAAAATAATCAGTAGGATGTGAAATATGAAACAAATTATAAAATTTCTAAACAGTTGCTAAAAATGTTAAACAAATGCATTCTAGTTAAAAAACATAATGCACTTCGAAATGTCTACTTTTTTTCAGTATATAAATTAACGATGAAAAAATGCTTTCTGAACATTTCAGAGTAACTTATAATGAGTCTTTCAACACTAAATATTCCGACATCTCTAACTAAAAAAATAAAATTTTGGGCAAAACGCATTTTGAAAGTTTGCTCCTCATATATATATATATATATATACAATACATATGTATATATAAAACATGTAAAAGCATGTCAATATCTAGGTTCAATGTATTTCGCAAAGTAGACTAGGACCATCACGAGATCTTACCAAGTTGAGTATTTGAGATTTTTCTTATTATCTCGCAATGAAAATTATTCACCAGAATAAAAGCGCGATGTAATTATCGACTTTGAAAACGTCACATCGTCGACGTACGCCTCGGAGCGAGAACAAACGAGCACTCGCATAATGCGATTACAAAATTTCATATGACAAGATTCTCCCATCTCGCTAGAATGCACTTCGTATAAGTACAACGATTTCGTGCTCGAAAAACACTTCTCGCTTTCAGTCATAATTTTCGAACATCATGTCGTGCCCGCCTTCTCCGAGTAATCGCGTGAAAGACAAATTGAAAATATCCCTTAATCAAACTTTACGAACACGATCGCCATCCATGTCTTGTATCTAACTTTTCGACGAGGGATAAACATTTTTGACAGTTTATAACAGATGTGAGTGTCAAAAACGTTTACAAGAAAAAAATTAAAATAAATTGTGTTATACATCTTAAACAAGCTAAAATATATTCTTGTTGAAAAATTATATATTAATGAATAGTTATTCTCTTTAAAAATACTGTTTAAAATCATTTTAAAAACATAACATACATACAGAAAATGAATGTGCCAATTAGCTTTTAATTGTGCACTATTATAT